ACTACTACTACTACTACCGCTACAACTACTACTACTACTACTACTACTACTAAAATTATTACCACCACCACTACTGCTACTTCTACTACTACTGCTGCTGCTACTACTACTACTGCTGCTACTACTGCTACTACTGCTGACATTCCTATTCCTGTTCCGACTCCTACTCCCAGCCCTGCTCCTACTCCTGTTCCTACTCAGACTCCTACGCTCCTACCCCTGCTCCTGCTCCTACTCCTCTTACTACTCGTACTACTACTCGTACTACTACTTCTACTCCTACTGCTCCTACTACTGCTAAAGCATACTTACTACTACTACTACTACTACTACTACTACTACTTCTACTACTACTACTACTACTACTACTACTACTACTACTACTACAAATACTAGTACTTCTACTGCTGCTTCTACTCCTACTGCTACTTCTACAACTACGGCTACTACTGCTGCTGCTGCTACTACTACTACTACTACTACTACCACTACACTGCGGCGATTACTATTACTGCTACTCCTCCTCCTCCTCCTCCGACTACTAGTACTGCTGCTACGACGACGACGACTACTGCTACTGTTCTACGTCCACGGCGGCCAATCGGGGTTGCTCAGGTCTCGATAACAAGATATCTTGCAAAACCCATCCTCAACGGCCCAGTCGTCGCAGTAGCAGTCGCCCAGGGCGTGGTGCATGCCGTGCTTCGATACGGCCCCATGCATGGTGCCAGAGTACCTGCATCATGACTACTAGAGCACACGTGGCTGATCGAAGAGCAATGACAAGTTGCCGCTCATGTCACCCGCTTCACGAAAGGAACACTTCCACCAATTCTGCGAGGTGCCTTCCTTGAGGTGCACGGAACCAGCGGGGAACTTTCCCACTCACCTCCTTCTGGAGGGATGCATACAAACTAACATGTCTGTCCTGGAGCTCCGTCGCTAACACTGGCTCTAGCTGGACATAGCAAAAACGGTCGCAGTTGCTCCAGCGAAGTGCTTGACAACATGCCCAAATTGCCCGAGACTCCTGAATCTTCTGAGAGGTCTTCAGCAGTTCCGTTTCGAATTGCTCCGGCAACATGTTGTAGTAGTCCACCCCGTCCGAAGGGCCTTTTGCACAGTCATGTCGACGCTCTTTAGCTCTCCACTTCCACACTGAAGCTCGTGAAAGGCACACTCTACCGTGATCCAACTACCCAGAGACTCCAATATTCCTTAATTAAGGAATATACCTTAAATTATAGTAGGATCCTTAATATGATTTAAGGTATATTCCTTAATTAAGGGATATTGGAGTCTCTGAGATTCACGTGGCCAAAAACACCAAGGTCGCAACAGTGGTTGGCGAACTCGTGACCATCTGCCAAAAGCTCTTTTGCATCATCTTCAAATCCGTTCACATAGTCGGAGCAAAGGAAAAATGTCGCTTTGGCACCATGTTCCTGATTCAACGACATGAACCCTAAACCCTAAACCCCTAAACCCTAAATCCTAAACCCCCCTGAAGCCACACAGACTGTGACACCTTCCTTAAGCTCCGTCCTTCAGAAGCTGCCTTACCTCCGCAATCATCGAGCTGGAAGCCCCGTTACGACAAAGGCCATCATCAATTGTGAGGGCCACGTGGCCTGGCAAGACAGCACATTCAAACCGAAATCTGTTTGCTTCAGAGGAGAGGAATATGACTGGGTTTAGGGTTTAGGGTTTAGGGTTTAGGAGAGGAATATGACCACCATCAAAAACATGTAACACAAACCCACTTGGGGGTTTCCGAAAATAGGCGACCCTAATATAGTACCCTAAATAATAAGAACCTTGTTATAAGGACCCCCAAATAAGGTACCCCCTGGGTACCCCCAATTTTCGGAAACCCCCACTTCTTTCTGCACTGTCTACACTCAGTCCTTCGGTGCCGGGAAAGCGAAAGACGGTCGTGTTCCCATAGACCCAATCCTGAAGCAACACACAACTCCTACCATCGGACTCGTCTTCGGCCTTCCCAGAGACTCCAATATCCCTTAACTAAGGAATATACCTGAAATCAGATTAAGGATCCTACTATAATTTAAGGAATATTCCTTGATTAAGGAATATTGGAGTCTTCGGCCTTCTTCAGCCGAGGTGCCAGCCAGGTCACCGGATGAAGGCCCAGGCTGGTGCTGAGACTGTGCACCGACTTCAGCATAGTCTACGCGCTGAAGCTCTTTGGAAAGAACAAGATGGGGGGTGAGAACCCAAGACCCCTTAATTAAGGAATGTACCTTAAATTATACATATTAGGGCCCCTATAATTTAAGGTATATTCCTCAATTAAGGGGTATTGGGTTCTCAGGGTATCTGAAGTGTGGAGGCCGGCGGTAGGGGACTGCAGAGAGTGTGACGGATCTGAACACGGCTCACTACACGGAGATGCCGCGCTCTGCCTGAAGATCAGCTTGAGCCGAGAAGCAAGAAGAAACATAATGTATGTTCCGTAGGGCTTCTTCGTCAAGGCTCGGGAACTTGGCACAAGCCTAGGCTGTAGAACGAACCTCGGACAAAGCTGGACCACAAAGCTGCAAGTTCCTGCGAGCCCAGGCATTTCTCTCTCTAAAGCGGCATATTTGGGTGCTAGAGGACCCTGAAATTGCCCTAACTCGAAAGGCTCCGATATGCGAAGCGAGAGCCTCGAAGAAAAGACGTCTCTTGAGCCCTTTGGGCAACTGCGTCGGAGATGGAAGGACCCTGCGGTTGAGGTCCCGAGATGCCCAGAGGCATCGAAGTGATCTAGGGACCTTAATAATTCGAACAGGGTTGTTTGGGGGGGTTCCTTTGAAGGGTTCCTTTAAAGGGTTTCTATAAGGGATACTATCAGGGTTTAGGGTCCAGGGGCCTTAATACTTAGAATAGGCTTTTCGGGGGTTTTTGTTCTTATAGAGTTCTAGTAGAATATACCCCAAACCCTATTCTAATTATGAAGGCCCCGATTTTAGCTGAAAACACCCATGAGGTCGAAGGCCAAAGCCGGAAGGGATCGCGCTTCCGGGTTCGAGGCTTCGCCATGAAAGACCTTCTAGGCCGCCCGGCCTCATACCAGGGTTTAGGGTTTAGGGTTCTAGGTATCCTGCCAGGGAGGAGAACTCCTCTGATTCTTCTCTCTGCCTGTACATTGGAACTGGTGAAGAAAAACGGATGAATTTCAAATAATTTGCCTGAATTTGCAGCTGGCGCTGTGAAACATGAATTGACCAGACAAAGCAACCAGCCACGAAGTGGCACCAGGCCCCTGCGATCCGGAACCAGGCAATGCTCAACCTGCCGGAGCGGGCGGAACTCCGAATCAGAGCACACCCAGAGAGCCCAATACCCCCTAAATAAGGAATATACCTTAAATTGGTTCATATCGGTTCCAGGGGTGAACCCGGCCCCTGCGTTTTAGTATTTTACGTGAGTACATGAAACGAAACCACATGTTTGGATGTGTTCATGGCTGCGGACAGAGACAAGCGTATGCAGATTGACGTACAGTGCATATCCAATTCAATGGTAAAAGATAGCAGCTGCAAAGCATTTCTTTTAAGCAGCTGAAGCGTAAGATGGTGTTCTACGCGCATTCGTTTAAAGTGCTAAAACGCAGGGGCCGGGTTCGCCCCTCAAGCCCTTAAATTATAGGGGCCTTAATATTATGGTTTAAGGTATATTCCTTAAAGGGGTATTGGGCTCTCTGGGCAAGACCCACATCAGACCAGGCATCCAAACCGATAGTGGGCTGGCAAACTACAACCTGCCGTCGAAACCCTAAACCC